GCGACAGAGTGAAACTATGTAGAATCATTCTATCGACGCGATATTGTTAATACATTTGTCCCGAAAATTCTCCCATAATTCATTCGAGGGAGAGCCGGGCGTTTTATTAAAAAATTTCGTCCGAGGTCATATCGCAACGAAGGCCAGGGCGCGCGCGTATTTTTGCGAATATGAATCATCGTTTCACGGGAATTACTCCCGAAGGACGCAATAAATCTGACAGTTTACACGAACCTAACGAGCCGCCTATTTATCCGCGCAATTGACCGCGCGAATCGTGATTGATATTAAACGTATAATATATCTCTATATAATCGACGCGATCCCAACGTGTCCCGCGTTAAACGCGAATCAATCCTCCCTCCCCTCTCCGCCCCTTTCTCACGCCTCTTCGCGTTCTCTTTGCAACACAGCGTACACGGTCTTTTCTTTTTTTCTGTTTTCTGTTTTCTTTTTTTTTTTTCTTTTTTTTAAATCCAAATCCTATTGAAAAACATCGGACAGGAAAAATCGAAACTTTCTATTGTAGTGTCGTTCGGGTGTCGCGCGAATGGAACCGGACAACGGTAGATGCTAACAATTTCGTTCAACGACACGGCGATGCATATTCAGCGGACAACCTGATATGTCTGCGATATATTTGTGAAAGTACAGCTTGGAACATTCAGAATGCTCGCGGAACGATATAAATCTTGAAATTCGAACGAGGGAAAGAGATCTTTTTTCTTTTAGACACGGGGGCTGTTGAATTAAATGAAAATTTCGTTTTCAAAGAAATCCACAAGCGGCACACTTTCCTTCTTCTCAGTTCTTGAAGAAACTAACGCGAGTGTTTCACGTTTCTTCGATTGTCGTTGTTTCCAATTGCACGTTTTCTTTCTTTACTTTTTCCAATCGAAGGAAAAATTTAATTATAACGATTAATCGCAACTACCAAGCAATTTAGAAAAAAATATTCAATAAAATTTTCGGTAGAAAACCTTGCTCCTGGGCACGTGAAAAAAAAAAGAAGAAAAATTCATCATGTGCGTTCGAGTACAAAACTACTCGCTGTCCGAAGGGTTAACGATTTGATCGAAACAAAAATTGACTTTCTGCAAAAATTGTGGAATTCAAAAAAAAAAAACGAGGAAAATTCCGTTCCGACGAGATCTAATGGAAAAAAAAGTATCGTTTTAACGATTTACCTCGGTGGAGAGTGAAAAAGACACCTCGCCTTTTTCGAGAGGGTTCGCGCGTTGAACAGCTTTAACGTTAACTAATTTAGCCGTCTCGAACGACCTCGAGAAAAAGACGTGTGTGCCGTAATTAAAATATGGCAGGCGAAATTATTTCCATTGATATATATATATATAAAATTCTGTCGGTGACAGCCAGAGAGTTAGTAAATCTTCGCGAAACAATATTTCGGAGCTACTTGTGCGCGCTCTCGAAAGCTAATCTGCCCTCTCGAGAGCACCTGTAGGTGTCGACTTTTATAAAATTTATGGCAAGACAGTGCGCGCGTAAATATTTAAATTTATGCCCGCGGAAATATTTAAATTCGAATTTCGAAGTTCCAAGGTGAGGAGGAACCCTTTGTTGAGAGGTTGTTCCATTTATCATCCCCTTTGAGGATCCATCCACTTTTAATCCAAGCACCATTATGCGTATATTTTACAGTATCATGGAATTTCTATGAAGGCAATTTTTGCACAAGGAATATTCAAATTCAGAACTTTGAAGCTCTAAGAAGAAGAAACTTCTCGCGCCGTCGAAAATTTATTCAATTTATCATTCCCTTTTAATCTGATTCTGATAAATAAAATAAAGCTATATAATAAAAGCTAGATAATAAAATAAAGCTACGAACAAGCTTTATATATATCACACTTACCATATTTAGACACTATATTAAATAATAATTTAAATGACAAAAATTATAGATACAAATAATTATTATTGTTGTTGTATAAAAAAATGACAACACAAGAAAATAAAAAGAATCTTTAAACGAAAAGAAATCGCAGATTTCCCGTTCGCACATCGTTCGTTCGTTCGAATCCGATTTGCAGAAAATTTGGGAGTTAAGACGTCATTTGTCCCATTGGAAGTGTCCCAGCCCCGTTTACACTTCTCTCTGCTTCATTCTCAAAGAAAACAACCCGACTAAGGGGGGGGGGGGCAAGAAAGTTACTGGGAACGTCTGAATCGCGAGGACACTGATTTAATTCTGTTTGGTGTTTCATTGAAGCTCGTTCCAGTGAAGACAGTGAACTAATAAAATAATTGGATTCCTCACTCTGCATGTAATTTTACAGCATTCACAGCTTGTTTCTTTCTTTCTTTCTTTTTTGTAATATCGAGCAATTAAAACAGTGGAGTCTCCTTGAAGTATACGGGCGGAAAATCGAGGCAGAGAGGAGTGTCGTCGATGAGGCATGATCTCGAAGAATTTCACACGCCCGAATTACTCTCGGAAAGGGGGAAAGATATTATGGAAATGAGCGATTCGAGTCACCGAAAGCATTTGTCAGATAGCGGAACAACAGAATTGTACGAATAAATTAGAAGGAAAGAATGTTCTTAAATTACATTTCAAGCGAAAAATTCTCTACTTCGTTTATATTAATTTTTAAATATTTTAATCTTTCCTCCGAGTTTAGCAAAAAGTGTCTAAAGTTTCGGGGAAAATGTCTGATGTGAAAATTGAAATGAAGGGTCGATGAAAAATGAAAAGATTTCTAGAAAATCTTTAAATCTGAAGTTCACGATGGAAATTCTATTTCTGGTATTTTAATATTGGCTATATTCTTCTCTATTTATAAAGTAACTCGAAATTATCCTGTCGTTCGTTAGGCTTTCACAATCTCTTCATCTTTTTCTCAAGTTTCACAGATATTTTTTACCAATCCCGCTGTTCTCTACTCCCTCCTACCCTATCTCTTTTCTCAAAGTTCGACGCTTCGTTCCAGTTCCAGGCTGGTCGTTCAACATTTAAAAAGTACGAGCGAAAATTTCACCGAAAATACGAGCAGCTGGATCAAAAAATATCCTACGCGTCCGTGTAGCAAAAGTTATCTTCCCCTGTCATGCAAAAGGAAACCGAGGACAGGTTAAGTAAACTGAATCTGAATCGGTAAAAGTTTCACCGTAAGTCGTAGCAAACATCGTGCAAAATCGAAGCGCTCGAATCGGCAATGTATACACGCTAGTGTATTGCACAAACAGGCCTGTACGTACAATATCGTAGCAAGCGTACAGAATGAAACGATAAAGAAGGCATAAACGCATTATGCTCCGCACGAGCCGGATGTAAAAAGAAAATTCCCGCTTCGAGATATTATACCGGCTGATCCCTTGTATCCAATAAAGCTAGCAAAAATAAAGTTCGTTGCTCGCTATCTTGAAAATCCTTTTGAACTGCGAGTACTATTTTTCTATTTTTTTCTTTTTTTTTTTCAAGTATCGGTTTATCCGCCTTTTTCTCCCTCATCCGTCTGTATATTTCTCTGCTTCGCTATTAAAATTATTTCATCAAGATCCGCGAATAAATTAATGAAAATTCCTTTTGACCTTTTTACACGGTGTTTCCAAGAAGAGTATTTCACTCTTTGAGAACGTGATGAAATAACGGAGGAGCCAGAACGATCATTTCGTTTATAAAAATATTTTACAGAAGATTCTGGATTCGATCGATTTCTAGTAGTATCTAGACTAGAAATAAAAATTATTGAAATACAAAATACGAAGTGTTTCCATTAGCTTTTATTTTTGCTTTATTATCGTTCTTCGTGATCGTAATTTCGTCGTTACTAGTCAATCAATTAGAAAACAGTGTCGCGGGGAAATAAGGGTTGCGCTTGAATTTAACTCGAGAGTGTTAACTTCGAACTAATCGAAACCAACTTCAAAGGAATTTTCAGCCCCATCTCGACTCTTCAATCCCTATCGCATTTCGATTCCACCCTTCGAATTCCGCTCGATCGTTCGAAACTTCAATCTTTCCATCACTTTTCCTCTCTCTCCCGGGAGACGTCACGAACGAGCTAATTTTCGCCAGAGAAATGTTCAACGCCAGTGGTCCACTTCTCTCTCTCTCTCTCTCTCTCTTTCTCTCTCTGGTCGAAGAGCAGACAGTGAAAAAAGAAAAAAAAAGAAGAGGGGAAGTAATTCCATCGTGAACGCGCGCGTTGGCTACTTCTTACACTTTATCCCTTTCTCTCTCTCTCTCTGTCTCTATTTTCGAGAACGATAGCGACAAAAGGCCGCGCTTGTTATCGAGGCTGCAGACGTAATAAGCATTACTCACAGGCCAGAGAATGGAGGAGGGTCGAAATCGAAGGTAATAATGGCTGTTCGATACTTTGCGCCGTGAGTTCGCCGCCGATTCATTGATAACAATACTTCGATCGTGCCACGAATATCGATTCGAGTTGCGCAAAGTTTCGAGGGGCGAGCCCGAGGAGAATGGAAAAATCTTCGAAAACACCGGGACTTTGGCTATCTCTCGGGCATGGTGGAATTTCCTCGGGGAGCCTCCACTCGGCAGGCCACTCTCGATACGTTTGCCCCTCAGGAAGGGATTAAACGTTAATTAATATCGTGGCGGTGATGCACGGGGCTGGCACAAGGTGATCGGTGAAATTGAATTCTCTCGCGTTTAATTTCGTCGTAAATACAATAACACAGGGAGAAGTTCTCGAACGTGTCAATGTTGTTTAAATAGCAATCTAGCATCTCATATCTATTGTAGCGGCCTAGAATCCCTCGAGTACGAGTTTCGAACACCGACTTGTACAAACCGCAAGTGGCTGTGCGCCTAGCGTCGAAGTCTAACGATATTCGATGTGTTAAGCAAACAGAGTGCGGAACATCGCTAGGATGGGTGAAAACCCACCGTCCAACCTAACTAACGAATAGTTAGAAAAAAAACAAGCGTCTGGGGTAAGGGGTCGCTGCCATCAGCCCCACTGGATGAGTCTAGGCAGCGACTCTGAGACGAAAACGCATTTCCTCACCTTTACCCATCACCTAGATCCTTTCCAATCCTTTCATCTCCTTCCCTCATCCTCGCATCAATTGTAAATAGTGTACATATGTAAAAATAGCCATAGCTTAACAAAGACCTTCACTATCTTCGATTTTCCAAAGTATCTTGTCAATTTTTGTATACACTTTCAGATCTGTTTTACGCTTGGTCCAAATGTTTCAACATCGAATGGCAAAAAGGACAAACGTACTTGAACGTATTTAAAAACGCTGAGATTTTTTAACGATAACTATAAAATTTTGTCGTGTATTTTTTTTTTTTTTTTTTACAATAGAATTAGCGAATTTAATTAAACGAAAGATTTTAGGGTTTTTGAACTTTGCTTTCGAACATTTGCGAACGTTTCGTCGAAAACTTTTTTGCCAGGGCCAGTATAAGACAAATGATGCATGATTCATAAAATGTATTTGTAAATGTTCGAACATTTCCACAGTGAGTAACCTATTAGACAGAAAGTCATTTCCTATATTTCTGTTAATGCGGGAGTTAATCAGTTAAGCGTTGCCAACTGTTGAATGAAAAACCTAGTATTCTTCCCAAACACGCGCCCGATAGCATGGCGCCACACACGTTATGCCACTGTCGCTTATGACACCATTCCGACACCATTAACAAATTACATAATCTACTTGGTCCTTGCTCTTTATCCTTTTATCTAATTGTATCTCTATCCGCTGTCTCGTGCGTGTCGTTAATAAATCATCCAAAACGATGTTTACAGCGAAACTGTCTCAAAGCACAAGCTCTTCTTTTATAATAAAATAACCCTAATTTTATATCCAATTTCAATTTCTTTTTTTTTTTTGTTTTTGTTTATTTAATTTTTGGGACGAATGCACGTACGTATGAATTATAATAATTTGAGAAAAACAATTGCACTTATAGATATAATATTTCAAACAAATTATTACACCGTCTTAGCTTACATGTTTTTCATGTTGAACGTTATATTCAGTACTTTCAAAGTTTAACATCTTCTTCGTCGATATTCGCCCTTTTTAATCATTTAGCATTAAAACATTAGAATAGTGAAATAATATTATATAACATGCAGATTCTCATTAGCTCTTCGTTAATAACTTTCGAAACCTAAGTGACTAGGATGATTCACAATTTCCTCAAATCCCAACAAACGCAGGGGCGTTATAAATAAAACGTGCAAATGTGAATTCTCGTGGCTCAACAGCCAAGTCCCGTCGAAATCTGTCTCCAAATACACCACCTTTTTCAATCGCCTCCCTCCCCGCCCCTCCTTTCCAGCAACGATTCAAACAAGCCGTTTAATCCATCACCGAATGAAAGCTTAAACGCGTCGGAGTACTCATCGATGTCAACCCCATTCCCAAACCGAATCATCCCCCGTTTCCATCACTATCGCGGTTCGACTTCCGGGATAAATAATTCCGCGCGAAACACGGACGATCCGGCCGAATAAATAATTAGGGGACGCACATAAAGGGAACTCGCGCCGGTCCCAGAGATTTTCTTGTTACCTTCCAACACCGACCTCACTTTCAACCTTATTCTCTCTCTCTTTCTCTCTCTGTCTCTGTCTCGTCCGCGACCATTCTCCTTCTCCTTCGCGTTCGCCACCCCTGAATCTCACCCTCGGGATATTTCTCTTCCTCGTCACGTGCAGCTAGCTGCGCAACGCAGTGTCGTGTCTTTGTGCACCACTCTCTTTTTCGTCCCTTTTCTTTTGTGTTTGCAGACCCGCTACCACCCACCGCCGCCCATTCTCGTCCTGAACGTCACCCTCTTTCCCTGTGTCTCCCGTCTCGCTTTGCGCGACTTTTCCTCTTCCGGTTGCCCTAGCAGGCTTCCGCAGGGTCGAACGAGAATTTACCTTCCGACAGGCTCGCCTACGGCCTCGCGAAATATACCAGACACGGCCCTCTACCTTTTTTCCTTCTCTCTCTTTCTCTTTCTCCTTCGGTCTTGGTCGTCTCCTCGAACGCGTGCTATTTACGCGCCGCGGGTCATCCCCTTTCGACCGAAAGGAACACCGTTTGTTCTCCTTTTCTCTCCCTCGCGCCAACTACTCTCTCCTTGGGAGAAAGGAAAGAAAGAATTACAAGGAGCATTCCGAGACTCTGTGTGTGTGTGTGTGTGTGTGTGTGTGGAAGAAGCCCAAAGGGCTCTGTTTCTGATCAGTTGCCTCTGCGAGTAATATCAGAGATTTTAATATCGGAATTAGCCGACGGAAACGAGTATTATTATATTGACTCTTTGTCGAGAGATTTTTTTAGATTTGCAACGAAGAAGTTTCGAATATTTGAGATTTTCATTCTTCTGAAATTTCGAGGTTTACACTTTAGACGGTTGACCGGCGAAGCGACCAACATGCGATTCATGAAAATTTTCTAAAGTTTTCTGAGACTTGTGAGTGATTTTTCGTAAACTCTATATATAATATATAATAATATATTACTATTATTATTAATACTCTATATGTAATACTCCCCTTACACTTTCCACTTTTCTCTAATTTCGTATTTACATATAATATATAATAATATATTACCATTGTTATTAATACTCTATATATAATACTCCTCTTACACTTTCCTCTCTTCTCTAATTTCGTATTTATATATAATATATAATATAATATAATATAATATATAATAATATATTACTATTAATAATGTATTACTATTATTATTAACACTTTATATATAATACTCCCCTTACCCTTTCCTCTCTTCTCTAATTTCGTATTTATATATAATATATAATAATATATTACTATTATTATTAATACTCTATGTATGATACTCCCCTTACACTTTCCTCTTTTCTCCAATTTCGTATTTACATATAATATATAATAATATATTACCATTATTATTAATACTCTATATATAATACTCCTCTTACACTTTCCTCTCTTCTCTAATTTCGTATTTATATATAATATATAATATAATATAATATAATATAATATATAATAATATATTACTATTAATAATGTATTACTATTATTATTAACACTTTATATATAATACTCCCCTTACCCTTTCCTCTCTTCTCCAATTTCGTATTTACATATAATATATAATAATATATTACTATTATTATTAATACTCTATATATAATACTCCCCTTACACTTTTCTCTCTTCTCTAATTTTGTATTTATATATAATATATAATAATATATTACTATTATTATTAATACTCTATATATTTGATACTCCCCTTACACTTTCCTCTCTTCTCTAATTTCGTATTTACATCGACAGAATAATTAATCAGTAGCAAACAGTCTGCCAATTGTTCTTCCTCAAATTCATCGGATTGCCTTGAATTTATATATCCTTTGCGTTCAATTGTTTTGCCAGTATTTTGCCTGTCGCTATCAAGCATATTTAGCGAGACACTTTATGCAACGTTTGAAGCAACTCGCTCGCGAAATACCGAGCAGACACACCGCTCTCTCTCTCTCTCTCTCTCCTCCCCTCGGTTTTAAGTTGCGAGGACACGTTTTCATCCTGCAAACACGCGTCACTGACGCCTCTCCGATAGTTCGACTCACAAAGTCGACTTACAAAGACACGTAGCGAACTTCCAGCCGGAATCCCCATTTCAATCCCCGGCGCAACTTCTTGATTCACAAGATGCAATCTCTGACTTGATTTCAACAATGAAATGCTAATTATCTATCTCGTTGGGCGCCGGATGGAGTTCTCCCTCTCTCGGTCCCGGCGAATAAAATTCCGAGAATCTCTTTCACGCTTCATTGGAGACCGCGTCGAACTTGAATTCAGATTTTGATCGATATCTGTGTAGAATTTTAAAAGAGAAACTATTAGGGGTAGCCATGAGTAATCAATTTGTTGGATGTCGTCATTTATCAGGAACTGTTTTATTGTTTTTCTTTTTTTTTGTTTTTTGTTATATTATACTTTTTTTGGTTATATTATACTATAGCGGTGTTATCGCGGTGCCCTCACGTTATTACGTAACTGTTTAACAAGTTCAGTCACTTTTTCTGAGCTAACATGTAAACGACGTAAAGTTTCTTAATAAATATATATTTTTCACCATTTACTGGATACGCGTGTTTTTCTGTACCAAATTCCATCACAATTATTTCGCATTTGTTGGAGTGTTACGCCTTTTCTGCTTGAAACCGCCCTTTTTTTCTAACAATTTGCAATGCGGTTGTTGTAATTGTTGGCAATACAAGTCTACGGTAACTGTTTCCCCAAGTTTCGATCACTCGAAGTGAACTATACCACTAAACGCACGATAAACAACTTTGAAACCCATTAGATTGTCACACAAATGTTTGGATCTTTATATAACTTTTGCCATGTCACAACCGTCACGTACTCTTGGCCCCAACAGTATGCGTGCTTCAGAAACAAATGACGAATTAATTAAAATTCTAGTTAACTCAAAAATACCAGAATATTGTTTCATTAAGAGAATAAAATTTCGCGCGCTTTCCAGCGCGGAGAACAGCGTGTGAATTCAATTTGAACGCCCCGAACCGATGGAACATGGAAGTCGAACGTCAAGAGTTTTTATTTTTATTTTCCAACGTGCAATTTCACGTGCGACGAAACGCGAAATTGCGAAACTAAGAAAATGTTCATACGCGATTTCGTAGCGTTGCGAACGCGAGACTCGCTGGAGATTGACGTTCTCCCGTTCTCCCCCTCGCGCGATTACAATAAAAAAAAAGGCTGCGAAAAATGCTCCTGTTCGCGCCGCCGAGCAAAAAGAGAGGACCGCCGACGACGTGTTTCGCGATTTTTCGAAGCGCCGGAAAAATTTCCATCTCATTAACAATCGCGAACTACGAATACGTGCACACCGAGAATATATTTCGGCATTGGACCGACGACGCACACGCGCGCTTTCTGGTGCCAGGATCGCGGGCCCGGAAATACAGCAGCACCGGAAACGAAAGCGATTCCGGCGGGGGAACGCGACGCCGCGACTTATTATATGATTTCTGGGCTAACGAT